TACAGATGCATGGGTTTAGCCATTTTTGAGTTATGTTATTGTACCCAGCCAATTACTGGTAATAGTGCCATTGAGGAGAGATGGATATGTAAATTTAACATTTTTCCCCTCAAATGGCGTCTATAGCTCCAGTGCTCTTATGCACCTGCACGTTTGCATAGAACCAGAGGAAGTGCATTATCCAACAAATGCAAAAGAAACTACTCCAACTTCAGAGCACGTTAATTGAATTCATTCATTCATTCAAGCTTGGGTTATGTTTAAGCTTTTATCTGCCAGGTCGGGATTCACAGATTGAAGACTTCTGCATCAATTCACGATGCCATGGCACCGCGTTTACAAAGAGTTTACAGCTGTGCTTCTGGACACCTTATCTATGGGACCACAAAATGCAGAAGAGTGACATACAACCGTAGAGTTGCTATCCCGTTATCTCCAATTTGACACCACTAAAGCTGCTGAGCGTATTACTGTAAAAGAGATAACTCGCCTCCAGGCGCATAGGAGATCCTGATATTTAATGTTTGCTTGAATTTACATAAGGCCCTCATTAGATAGTCGTTAATTAGAGTTAAACACGTATTCATTAGTTGAACTAAAAGGACTCCTATTGGCGGGGTTTATTGTCTTGCAATAACATTTGCATATGTGGACTTTATTTTGTTCTATCAGCATGCAAAACGCGAATAGAGGGAATAGAACAACATCTAAGAATCTGCCCATAAAATGGCCACTTGTGCAGATCAATATAAGCACGCAGTAGCAGGATTTGAAAAATAATAAACCGCACTATGACATGGGCGACATAAACTGTTGTTGATGCCTTCACTAAAATTGTCCCTGCACGTCAGAAGGCTCTAAGTATCGGTTTATGGTTATTACAACCCATTTGGCTGCAGCCTTACTTACATTACTTTGAACATTATATCTGGAATTACAGTCACTTTTCACTACATTGAGGGTTATATGATTTGGATAATATTATACGCTATCAGGTCACATAGCAATATGCTGGAGGCGAGAAAGTGTAATCCATTCAAAACAGTCCAGGCAGTTTTGATAACCATTAACAAATTTGCAGATACTGTGTTAGCCTTCTCACAAAACAACTATGATTCAAGACGTAGCGTTTCCACTTTATTTTAACGCTATTAACTCGTTTTTTTTAAAGGAAACACGTGATCACCGCAACTAAATGATAACGTGAGGTGCGTTATTTATTCAAAAATGCAACCTTACTCCTCTGAAGCGACGTGCTGCTGAAAATAAATCATCCTTTTTTTTTCTAAAAAAAACCCAAATTCAATTAAAAATTATAGTAATGCATACTATTAGCATGTCACGATGATATGAAAAACATCCGCAAGGATAATGGGGATTTCCTTTTGAGTATTTCTGCGTGCTTGTGCAACGATCACTGGTCTATTTATAAGCCATTGATTTCTGTACAAAACGGCTAATTACATTACTTACAGCAAATAGCAGCCCTGCTGTACATGCTCTAGCGTGCCAGCAACAAACAAATCACTGCTTATTTCACTTGATTGACTTAATTTTCACATGAAATTGTGCCTTATGAGCTAAACTCTGGCAATCTGTCTGGTGCACGTTATATCCACAGAGCAGCACCCACTGTTAATTGAATCTGTGCATGAATAAAACTCCTATACATAGTGCTTGTTCGTGTTACAGGTGCAAATATGGAACAAAGAGATAGATGCGAGTTAATTTACAGGTACACACAGTGTGCTTGTATCTTGCTGGAAATTTAATCTGTGTGTTTTGCACGCGATCTAACGGCTGTATGTGAGATCCCGAAGGGACTTGACGAGAGAAACTCCACAGACAGGAACCTCCCATATAGACCAGGCTATAGGTGTGATCAAACACACGGCAGCTGGCACGGTCACGACTGGGGGCTAAAACAGCTAGTCAGAGGATTTATTCTAAACCAATTAGTTTAAACTGTATATGAGGAAAAGCATATGGGGTGCGAGAGAGAGAGAGAGAGAGAGAGAGAGAGGCAAAGACAGAAAGAGAAACAAAGACATAGATAGGAAAAATACACATCGTCAGTGACAAAAGCATAACGGGGAAAATATTTCTCCATATTAAAAAAAAAGGACTTTTAAGAATTATAATTGTTTGGATTTTTGATGACTGTTTTTTTCAAAATAAACTAAATTACATTCACACATTAAATTACACACACGCACACACACATGTATCGACAAAACATGCAGTTATTTTTAATTACAGTTCAGCAGAATGTCCACAGACCATTCTCAGATGTAGACAATGAACAGAAGTACATTGCTTATAGGTCAGACCAATCCTTGTATAAAACCATAAATCTGTATTTTTCTGTCAGTAACATCACACGCCACTAAAGGTTCTGGTTCCGCAGTTTAAGTAACCCACTGCAGTACCTCTTTAGAAACATGCTTCTTAAATGAAAAACAGAGCTGCCGCATATGCTCAATCAGTTGGGTAGCGAAATAGCGCACATTTGACATCGATTTGTTGTCTGCTGAATTAACCAAAGGGTCGTGGTCAAATTGGTTTAACAATAAAATATAAAAAGAACCGAACGAATGTGTACAAATGCATTCAATAGTTCAACAAACTAACAGATTTAGAAAATTTCCCCGCTGAGGCTATCAATTACCATTAAACTCAAGCATCATAGCAAGACTTTTTGGAGCATTTTTTTNCAATACGGCTCATTTCTTGGAAGGTTTTGTTTACTTTTATGTGGCATCTGGTTGGGTGTAATTACCACTGTTGCAGAATCAAATAAACCCAAGAGGAGTGGATTTCGAATCAATATTCACGACGATCTCGGTTCACTCTGGGTTCAGGATTTCGGTGCGGTACCTTTCTGGTTCATCGTTTAGATTTTTGGCCGCAAAATGAAATCAGAAGGGACAATAATACTTGTACGAGGAGCAAACTGTTAGTATAACACCAACATAGGTTGTCTGGAAATGGGAATCACTGCACCCGGAGAGATACGGGTTTAGAAACTAGATAAATGCCACGGATCAATCGGATGGGTTTATCTGTTCCGTTGTGGCGAATATTGACCTAACTTTGGGAGTGAATATTTGAGTGTGTGGAAGCGAAGAGAGAGAGAGAGAGTGAGAGCGAAAGAGAGAGAGACAGAAGTGCATCCACGAGAACTTACGATTTTTCTTTCCGTACACAGATTTGTTGTCATATCTTTATCCAATTCGTGTTGCTACTACAATACACAGACATTTCTGGACTGAGCTTAAACATCTGCAATGTTAAAAGTACAGTATATTATTTGATGCACAGCAATCGGTTGGAAAAGAAGCATCCGAAAGACGGGATTAGTTTCTTGCCGTTGCATAACACTGCACGTGTGAGAAGCTCGATCCCACTCACCGACCATTATTATGCCCATATTAATCATGATGCAAATTCAAACTGCGTGAAGTTTAAAAGTTTATGCTAACTTTAAAACCCACGTGCGTTCTCACGCAGGCGCGCACCATCTCCAGCAAATTAGTCTGAACGGATTCCAACATTTTTTTTCCCCAAAAAAAATCCTTCCCCCCCCCCCCCACCCCCCCGCAATAGCTGTTTTGCAGCGAATTAAATTCGCACTTGCAGATCGTTGTCGCTTTTACAGTAGTTTCAAAGAGCGAGGGTCCAGAATTGGCGAGAGTTTCCAAACTCCAGCCGTTTGGGGGGGGGGGGCATTGCAGTCAGGGACTTAATAAGCCAACGATATTCTTACCGATCAAACGGTAGTAAAATATAGATATCCAGCACCGAACTCCAGGCTCACCGCAAGGGTTGGTGAGTTGCATTGGGTAAAAAGCATCGAGATTGAATACGCGGACGCATTATTCGGAAAAGAAACTAAAGGTGAACGTTGGGATACGGAATGCAAAGCAGTGATTTTCCTGCCTACGAGAAAAATATGTTTGGATTTATGTATTGTGTATTTCTTTTTTCCCCCAAAACCAAAAAAAAACGTTTGTGAACAGTGAATGACAGAGACTTGTTCGGAGAAGCATAACTTTTTTTTGGGGGTGGAGGGAAGGGGGGGGGGTGGGGGGGGGGTGGGGTCGGTGGGTCTGGCAAATACTTACAGGGGCGACTGATTTAACGTACTAAAACTGTCAGCCGTGCGATCAGATACAATAATATCCTTTGAACTCTGTGACAAGGCTGACCCAAGAAATGCCGTGTTGTGTTGGTTTCCTTTCGAAACCCAACTGACCTTTAAAATCGCAGCCTCCTTTAAATTGGGGGAAAACCCCTCCTTAATCAATTAGGCACGAATCACTTTTACTCGACTACCCTGACTGTATTTAAAAATAGCAAACCCCTTTTGCCCCATCTTTTAAATCACGCCCCTCCACCAACCCCACCCCCCCTCGCGATTGTCAGGAATTGTGCATTTTTATATAAATTTCGCTTCAAATGCGTCTTTATTTTATAGATCCCACAGAAATTGCAGCAAAGATGCACCGTTGTTGCATTGATGTAGTCTACGCTGCCTTCCGCTCAAAAATAACTTGAATCGCATCACTTTCTGAGGCAGAATAACCAAACCCAGGCTATTGTTCGGATCCATTTCTTCATCTGCCAGAAAAAAAAATTGTTTTTAAAAAAACATTTTTTTCTAAAAAAAACATTCACATGTACTTCATCCTTTTCGAGTATACCTGTTGCTCTGGAAAGAAAAAAAAGTGTGTGTGTGTGTGTGTGTTGTGGGTGGGGGGGGGGGGGGGGGGGGGGTGGGGGTGGAGAGAGAGAGAGAGAGGGGGAGAGGGGGCTCAAATGATTCGACTCACCCAATCGGAAAGTCGCATAAACTAACCACATTGCAGATCGAACCCGCCTGGAGCTGTCATTGACCGTCCGTCAATAGCCAATGAAAAGAGTATGACAGGCCTTTGTAATGAAAAGGATTAGGTGGCAGTCTATTGAACTCCTCCTACCAAATTATCCAACTGTGCCCTGGCTAGAGTCTGCAACAAATAGGCAAAATTGTGTGCTCCCGGCCAGCCACAACCGGATCAACAAGGAACTTGCAGCTTTGCAGAGTCAGGGGAATGCAACTGAAATCACCCTAACATCGTTGTTTACCCCCTATTTAAACCAATCTGCAGGGACTTCCCCCTAAAAAAAAACAACTTGGAAAATCTGTTGTCTGAGCAGTTATCGAGCAGCGACTCTCTTTCCCTGCGCTGGAGAGTCTGGTGTGTTGTATTTTTTTTTCCCCCCCTGTACGCGACTTGCAGTTTATTTATTTGTAATTGTCTTGCGGCAGTCTATTCCATGGTTTAAGCTGGGGTCTGTATGGAAGTACTAAGAGCCAGGTCCGAGGAAGACACGTGTACTTTCCGTCAATCAGCAATGCTTTTCCACGGAATCTCTGGGGGCGAGATCCAGGGAATCATGGAGGAAATGGAAAGGAGATCCAAGACGGATTCCCGTCTCGCCAAAGGAGTGCAGATGAACGGAAGGGAAACGGTAGGAGAGAAAATAAAAAATATTTACTTTTCAGACGCATGCAATTAACTTAACTTCCTTAATCCCGAGCAGCTCTTGCGCAGCAGTTGTTGAGAGACTTGGACGAGGTTTTTTTTTGTTGTTTTTTTCTCTCTAAACCGCCAGCGTTGCATTGAGCACACGATCCGCGTGATTTTATTGCACCTGAGTCAAACAAGAACTTTAAGATATTAGATGGTATGGTCCAGTACACCATAAAATGTCTGATCGACATATACACATACATTAAAATTAAAATCTATCGCCTTGAGCATGTTCGCAACTCCATACTTTTCCGTTACTTATTCGGGTCGGCTGATGACCTGCAGCTTTTAGAAAGGAAACTGGGGTTTCGTTAATGATGTCTATGTTTTAATGCTAATTTAATAATTGCAAATGGAGTGTGTGTGTGTATATGTATGTATATATAGTATATATATATGCGCGCAGTGCAATATCCCATTCAGGGTTATAGGTAGAAGAAGAAAAAAAGTATGTTTATTGTGAGATTTCACACATAAAAGACGACCTGCTTGGTCCAATCGTGTACGCACGCTTTTGGCTCGTTTCATACAATCATCAAGAATTATATCTGAAAGATTGAACCGATCATGTTGTTCTATATATGTGCTATGTAACTTTTCAACTATGATGATATCCATCCAGGTTAATTTGGAAAGGACAGATGTAGCACCGACATGTAAATAATTACTTGTATTCATTGTATGTAATTTCTCGCACAAATATTGCTAAACACGGAAAGTGAGGGGTGGGGGTGGGTGGGGGGTGGCTACTGTTTTTGTTTCCATTCGCTCTTAATTCGTGCAGGTTTTTTTTTTAGGGGGACTCGCGACTGTGGTCATTTTGGGCTGATCTTTAACATTTGACGTTTTAATTTTCATTTGCAGACAATGCCTTCTGTTAATTCGGAGAAACCCGCCCTGTGTGCCGGCTGTGGGGGTAAAATTGCAGATAGATATTACCTGTTGGCTGTAGATAAACAGTGGCACCTCAGGTGTCTCAAGTGCTGTGAATGTAAACTCGCTTTGGAATCAGAACTGACTTGTTTCGCCAAGGACGGCAGCATTTACTGCAAGGAGGATTACTACAGGTAAACACACACGATACTCTTTAAGCAACGGTGATGGGTTTCCGCATGTGTCGGTTGACCAAAAGAAAATAATCACACACTCGCACATCAGTTCCGATTCCGAAATTAAGTGGTGCAAATTCATCTGCAAAGGGGCGCGCACGCGGATTATTAACGCGTGAAGTAACCTGATCCCATCAGCGTCGATTTTAATCGGTTGCTGAGTTGCAGTTAGGCGTACAGTATTTATTTCCCAACGATCTCCATTGCTTGTTCAGTTCAGAGCCGTTTGACGATCTCTTAGTATTGGACCCGATTTAGCAATCGGAGCCTCGCAATAAATCAGAAACACTTTTTGGCAAAAACACACACACACACACACCGGTCAATCGTGAAAATCATTGCATTGGTTTAACTCTTAAAATGGTGTTTTTACGTTGCTACACATTTCACCATAGGCCCCCGACTGGCCCAGGAGAGGAATGCAACAATTTAGAGTGTAACTGCATACTGTTTACCTACTATAAATATCACTGTTGTTGCTATATGTGCTATTTTTGTTGTTGTTAAGCTTTACACAAAAAACATAGGGTGAGCAACATTAAAAAAAAAACTGCTCCATCAAGGGGTTATAGTTTTATTTGTGACCATATGCTTCTGGGTTGTAAACAATGAACATTTAGTCGGGACCGAGTTCTTATATCATTTTAATACCATAACACCTCGGATTTTAAACAGTGTTCAGAAAACTCGCCCCCTACAAAAGTGACTTTCTTTTCCTTTTCTTTAAAAAAAGGAGTGGCTAAAACTCCACGTTAATCGCTGTTGATTCATAATTTGAATGTTACTTGGTTTATCGAATTTGGCTCTTCTTTGCTAATGTGCCAGTATTTGGATCAAGAAGGAGGAGAATTAGATTTCAATATAGTCACTGCCACTGCAAACTAAACCTCCAAATAGTTGGCACATTATATGACACACAACATTTTCATGCATTGTCTTCTTAGTGGGTACAGACGGCGAATATTCAATCTGTTATTAGTCAGGAGTTTCCGGCTTATTTCATGAAAGTATAAGGTTGATTGAAGCACAGAGCACCGTTGCCGTGGGTCACGTTATTGGGTGGGAAGTGAGTTTTGTGAAATATATCAATTCCCTGCTTTTAAATTTGATGGAAAAGTTGTGCTCCGTGATTTGATATTGACTTGGCGTTTCGATATAGCCCACGGCACTCGTGTGGTGTTAGCCAATCAACGCAATTGAAGATTTGTGTATTTCTTTTCAAAAAAAGTTTCCCTGTGACTTGGTTTTTGCAGGAGGTTCTCTGTCCAACGGTGTACCCGCTGTCACCTCGGAATATCCGCCTCTGAAATGGTCATGCGAGCCAGGGACTCGGTTTACCACTTGAGCTGTTTCACTTGTACAACTTGCAACAAAACACTAACCACGGGCGATCACTTTGGCATGAAAGATAATTTGGTTTACTGCAGAGTTCACTTCGAGTCCCTGATGCAGGGAGACTATCACACACAGCTTAACTACACGGAGCTGGCGGCCAAGAGCGGGGGTCTCGGTTTGCCCTATTTCAACGGAACAGGCACCGTGCAGAAAGGACGACCCAGGAAAAGAAAAAGCCCTGCCCTAGGAGTCGATATTTCAACTTACAACCCAGGTGGGGAAAGAGGCTACTCGAGCGGGGGAAATGTGCGCAAAAAAAATAATAGTTTTGACGGGATGGAGAGACAGACTTCTGTCGCGTCCACACAACGTCCCGTCGCCACAATTTAAAAGTTGGCAGATCACTTGTCTCTCGCAACACAGCCTCGACAACTGCTCTCCAGAACACCCCCCCCCCCCCCCGTTAAACCCAGCACAGATCTGCAGCTCGCGTACCTCTATGTACCTAACTTTTTTTTTCTTTTTTTTTTAAAAAAAACAACAAACGCCTAAAGAAAAATGGGCATTTTCCGAATTGCACTCGTATATAAGTCGAGCTGAGCAGAGAGCCATCCGGCAATGCACTTGGAAAGTAACTCACATAAAAGATAAGCACCGCCTCGATTAATAACCTAAACAGTGTGGACGTTCAAAACAAAAGAACATATAGAGCCAGATGCACAGACCGTTGGTTTTCATAACCTGTCCCTGGACAAAGGCACAGCGTTTTTTTTCCAAAAAAAAGATTAGCAAAAGTTAACATTCTTGACCCGAGTTTTGCCACACGATTTCTCTTCGGCAAATGGCCCTGAAAACGCTTTGATTTTCAGTCGCAATAAGCGTGTGGTCAGCAATTCGCTAACTTTTCCGACATGGCAGTTCGAAAAAGAGAGAGAGAGAGAGAAAGAAAGAAAGAAAAAAAAGGCAGCAGCGTTTGTTTTAAACCAGTAAACTGGTCTGAATTTTTTTCTTTAATTTTAAAAAAATTCAAGACGTTTTTTTTAAAAAAAACATTTTTTTTTAAAAAAAGTCGTCATCATAATCATAATAAGAATAATAATAAAAAAAACGAATAAAAGCCGAGTGAGTTCCACACAGGGGACCCGATTCCCTTCCAGTTCACTGTGTTCTTTTTGTAGTTGTTTCCTAATTGCGATTTTTCTTCAAAGCCATTTGGCGCACACACCAGATTCTGATGTTCAAATGAATGGAAGAAGCGCCGCGTAATGTGGAGGTTAATTGTTTTGTGTTAATTAGACGTGACACAGGAATCCCTGGTTTCCAGTCACGCATAAATCACCCCCGCCAGCTCAAAACCTGCTCCAAAGGTATCCCGAATTAAATAATACGTTTGCTGTTGTTGAAATGGTTTGGGAGGAAGGTATTCCTCTTTCCAATCTATACATACAGCACGAATAACGTGCTTTGGAGGTATATAGCGTTGCAACGCGAAAATGTTTCAGGTCTATTAAGAATGCACTTTCTGTACAGAGAGTTTAACGCGTTGTCCAGTTCGGAGTAACTCGAGTTTTTTTTTTAAAAAAAAGTATTTGGGAGAAAGTGCGCGTTTAAGCAAAATAGAAAGTTTAAATACAACTTCCAACCCGAAGTCACGCTTGAGCCCCGGGATGGACCACAGCGTTAGGAGTTTTAATAATTCAATCCGATTCATGAAAGGCGCCGCAGTCTTGAGTCGCTCCAAATACTCTCTTGCCCATCGCTCCGACCTGTGGTGCTGCACACAAACACAACGCGTTGATGTTTAAAAACGGAACAGTTTTTTTTTGTTCGCTTCGAGGGACGAGAAAAAGTATTTCGGCACCTTATTCTTTAGAAAAAAAACATCGCATTTGCACGAGCATTTAAAATAATCTCGTGACTAAATTGGCTCCCTGCAGAGACTGAATTTTATGTCGAGTAAAGTCTGAACACCCCCCCCCCAACCCCCACCCCCCCCCCCCCCCCAAAAAAAAGCGTGTGCACCATGTTAGACATGTTTTGATATGAATGGGGACTGTCAGTACGATTCTTTTATCCACATTCAATCTAAATCTTGTTTATAATATGGCATTTGTATTATTAGCCTCTAATTGCTTGGATTAACAATTCCTTACGTGTGTTTTTTTTTAAAAAAAACAGCTTATTGATTGCTCCGGCAGCAATCGTTTAAAAGGAACTTGCTTTTTTTTTCTTGCAAAGAGTTTACTTTCAAAACTAACAACAATACATAATTGTACGAATGCATTGTTCTTCCTGATTACGAGCAAACGTGAGGGTTGGGAGAGGGCAGCTTCTCACATTCACACTGAGAAGGATTCGTAAATGGTCACCCAATTCACATGTACGGTCCATAAAATCAAACAACAGCAAAAAAAAATGCAATAGATTCATTGTGGGACTTAGTATTCTCCTGGACTGAATTTGTAAAGCAAGTTTTTTTTTCAACGATTGCATATAATACTGAGACCGATCAAAGTGCTCATCGATATGGACTTGGTCTCTGGGTTTTTGGTGTTCAACATATTGCTGAACCCGAAGTGTGAGACCATTTGTGTTTTATTTTCATACCGTTTACAACGCAGTGTTCATGAACGTAGAACTTTTTTTTGAAAGAAAGTTGAAAGGTTCTGATTTTTTTAAAAAAAGAAGACTAAATGCAATTATAGTTTTACACTTCAAGCCCCTGTAAAGTCAACGCAAACACGTTTACCCTGAGCATCGATAGGGATATCCATGGGCAGAAATTCTACCCATGTCTGGCTTCAGACTGTTGTCTGGCCTTTCAGGGTGTGCAGAATTTGGCAAACCCTTGAAACGCAGCCTTAAATTGGGAGTTTTTCTACCAGTTTTCTTTCGAGAACCGGCTTCCAAGCTGCAGACCGAATCCAACGATTTGACAAATGCTCTAAAATAACACGCAACGCAAACCAGAGAGCGAATCTGGACCCGGGTTGGATTTGTCCCCAGTTGCTGCATTGGAAGCCAAGTCCATGTTGCCAAAGGAGGGGGGGGGGTGGGTGGGGGGGGGGGGGTGGGTATCGTGTTAGCGCCCTCTAGCGAAGGCTGCGTGACGTGCGGGGAACCAAACGGCAAGGACCCAAGTGCAGTGGCTCTCTGCAACATCAGCAATGGGGGGGTGGGGGGGGGAAATCCGACAACCTCATGCAACTCAAATAACACCGAGCGCTTCTCTTTGTAAATCTTAGGGTGCAATGAAAACGACGCCGACCATTTGGACCGGGAGCAGTCCTACCCCCCAACCCAGAAAACCAAGCGTATGCGCACCTCCTTCAAACACCACCAGCTTCGCACCATGAAATCCTACTTCGCCATAAACCACAACCCAGACGCGAAAGACTTGAAGCAGCTCGCTCAGAAAACCGGCCTGACCAAAAGAGTTCTGCAGGTAAGAGGCACTTCACTACTTCTTAACTATTTTGTTCTGCATTGCAAGACCTCTGACCCACACACCCTTAAATTGCTTTGGTGGTTTTCACGTATAGTGCAGGATTTTGTTCCCCCCCCACCACACCCACACCCACCACTCTCTCCACCACCCTTCCCCAACACCTACAAACCCCAAGAAGCCATTTCTCCCAAACATTGAAACGCAAGAATGGATTCTGATGTTTACTAATGAATGGAGACAGGAAACTTTTTTTAAAATCTTTTTTTTAAAAAAAGCTAAACGTTAAGGGGTTGTGTATCAGGAGGCTCTGCAGTGTACAGTGTATGTTTCATCCACTCTCAGACACAGTGCATGTTAGACTGACAACACTAGCATTTCATATCTGTGATACTTGAACGTTTCTGAGTAACTGAATGACTTTTCACTTTTTATCTTTCTCTGTGGACATTCGAATCTCCAATGTGCACTTTAAGCCACTCGTTTTAATTGCATAATTTAGAGTGGAGTCACTTCTTTTTTTAAAAAAAAGAAAAACGTGATTTTTTTTTCACACACACTACCGCAAGTGCGATTTTCTTTTTAAACCCTGCAAAGCTCCCGTACCAAGAAACATTTGAAAAGCGATTTGACAGTAAGCAGTCAAGCGTGGTCCAGACTCTGTAACATAGCACGTATTGGCAGCAGTCATTGGAATTGTACCCAGTATTTTACCTGAGCACACAAACAAGTATTGATTAAGGTCTCTTTGACTGGATTAATTCGATACACTATATATATATATAATATAGCCTTGCTGTCCTTAAAACACTTCGAATGGTGTTTTATTAAAATATCATGTTACTGCATATCAATAATAAACCCACTTCTGACATTCATCACCCTCTAACAAATGGAAGTCTGATTCCATATTTCACGACCATAATGTGCTGAGTGGATGCAACATACAACTTGAACAAACTCATTTTAATTTTTTGGCATTTTCAGTTGCTAACTGGTCATGTTTATTTGTGTACAATGTTATATACTTGTACTTAGTAATGTGTAGGGGAGTCAGTGGTAGTGTCTAAAGTGCTGTAGATTGCACATGCCACTTATTGTATTAAATGTTAACAGTTTTTTTTTTGTTTTATTTTGCATTATCACAATCAGCATCCCCAATCCGATTTGTGATCTCTTTAATTCTGCATTAGTACTACTTAGCTGTTTTAAAGAATTTATCTCTCTCTTATATCTATACATATATATATATATCTATATATCTATATAATCTATTTATCTCTCTATCTATATCAATAACTTGTGGTGGTATGTGATTAGATTTTTTTTAAAAAAAAAGAGAAAGAAGAGGTTCAAAAGAAAAGAGAAAAAAATCGGTAAAAAGATTACATGGGATTGGTTTGCAGGTTTGGTTTCAAAACGCAAGAGCCAAATTCAGAAGGAACCTTTTGCGGCAGGAGAATGGGGGTGTTGATAAACCTGATGGCACAGCACTTCCTCCCCCGCCCCCAGCTGACAGGTCCGGCGCAGCTCTAAGTCCATCCAGCACATCGACCACTTTAACAGACTTGACCAATCCCACTATGTCAGTAGTGACGCCTGTGACCACTAACCTGGACGTGCACGAATCCGGGAGTCCGTCACAAACTACCTTAACGAACCTTTTCTAACCATTTTTAGCAGATTCCTTTACAACAGAAATAATAATAATAATAATAATAATCAGAATAAGAAGAATTTAAAAAAAAACTCCCACCACCCACCCAACCCCCCCCCACCCCACACACACCCCCTCCCAACCCACCACCACTCCCCCCCCCCCCCCCCCCCACCCAACCCGGTGTGTTTTAAAAAGAAATAGCCAACAGCAACAACAACAACAACGACAAAATAAAAAATAAAAATTCCTGCTGTTGCACAGGAACGATTTTTGTTAAATAACTGATATTGAATATATATTTTTTGTTTATGACGAACTCTAGTTTACAGCAGTAGTAAGTAAGTAAGTTTAAAAAAAACAGTTTACAAAAAAAAATAATCAATGTCAATGGACTGTGCAGTGGTGACTGCGCATGCTGGATTAAAACTCCTGCTTTTCCCGTGATATTTTCCTAAAGGGTTACAGATCCAAAGTTTTTAAACGTTTCATTACTTTTCCTCTACACGGAATTCATTTTTTTTTAAAAAAAAGGTAAAAAAAAACTTCTGCTAAAGATGCCCACGATCTATTATTATTACTGGGTTTGGTGGGAGGGAGGGAGGGAGGGAGGGATGGAGGGATGGGAGGGAGGGAGGGAGAGAGAGAAAAGAGAGAGAGAAACACCCCAAGTTTTCTTTTTTTTGTTGGTAGAGATAAGTCATGCGCACTCACCAGTGAACATTCAGGCTATGCTTATTGTCATATGTACTGGTACGAATAAAAAAAAACACTCGCCAATATTATAGACCACCACCGTTCTTTGACAGAACGAAACATGGTACTTGGGATCTGCTTTATGAAGTAGGATCTGAACACAGCTTTATCACGTGCCTTATGATATTCCTGAAGAAAGTCTGTGACGTGAAGTGTAGATTCATGTTTCCCTTGTTTGGAAAAGAAATCATTCGACGCCGTTCTGACACCTCACGAGTTTTGTATTGTTACCTCCTTTTCTGATAACTTTTTATATGGGAAAACTGTTAAACAAACAAACAAGCAAACAAACAAAAAGAAAGAAAGGCATTTGGCTTGTCCTGGAAGGCAACCAAGAACACTTTCTCACTCCAATAGAAGGTATTCCCAATGTTCCCAGGCCCTTTTACGTGCTGACAAGTGTGTTCAAGGCCCTTATTATTGATCTTCGTGTTTATGATTAGTACAGTAAGTGGTTTGATGAGATTGTTGATGTTTCTTTGTTTTAAGATGACTACATTGTACAGGCGCGATTTTTTCCCCTTAAATATTTATGGACCAAACGTTTGTGATATCTTATTAAAATTGTGTGATTAAAACACCTTGTTTGATCGTTTTCAGTTTAGCCTTCTTTTATGTGGCGCTTATATTACGATATTAAATAAGTTCCTCGTGTTGTGTCTACGTGCATTATCTATGGATGAATGGCCAAAATACATGTGAGAATCGTTCTTAATGAAACCAGAGAAAAAAAAATGCGGTAATAATACAAAAAAATAATGGTTTAGACGTAGATGACATGACACCTTTTTGTAAATCAGGACCTAAACACCAAACATTTTATCAGTTCAAGCAAAAAGCACTAATGTTATTGGAAAGTGCCTGAAATAAATACACAACACATAAAGGCGGAAAAAAAACAAGCAACTTCTTTGCGGAAGTTATAGATTGTATGTTTATACCAGCATTGCTTTTCAACGATCTCTATTTTTTCAATTGTCTATTTACGACTCGAGAATGCCCCCCCACCCCAACCACCCCCCCCCCCCACCCCCCACTTATTTAAAATAAATAAATAAAACGTTTCAGGGACAAAAAAAAATACATAGGAAACAAATGTGTTTTAAACGACGGTTAAAACACAGTTGTATATAACTATCAAGAAAGAGCATGTATAAATAATGGCAGTTGTGGGATTAGATCTTAAAACGTCTTAGATGTTAGATCTCAAGTAGAATAGGGATGCCACGTTTTTTTAATTTTAAAAAAAGAGAGAGAGAGAGAGAAAAAAAATGAAACCACCAGAAATTTATATAAATTCAGGGAGGATTAAAAGCAGTCAACAGCCAAACAAACAGTATAAATTTACCTTTTCAAAATAGTTTTTCAGGAAACGTTAGAAATATTTTCCATGTAAAAAAAAACATAACAAAAAGACCCCGAAAAGACAGGTTGCTCTGTAGTTTAATGAACTGTTACTATGATTTCTTTCAGGGAGAACAAATCTTGGGGCATTACAGCCACACTTCCCGACGTTTGAAAATTCCCTAGGTATTTTAAGAAGGGGAAAGGTTGATCGGAATTCAACAACAGTGAAGACAAGGACTATATTAGCACACAATTAAATATCCTAAAACTTTATTCAGATACATAACTACAATAAGCATCCAAAATGTCATTTGCTTGAATGTTTAAGCTAATGTAGGACGTAACGTGTTGTATATCTTTTACTTTTAAGCTACCAGTGGACATACATGTAGAAAAAAAACTATAATATGCATTGGACTTCATTTTAAAGGATTAGATTGTGATTAGGGCAGGCAGTCTGATTTCCAGCGCACAGTCGAGCTGACCAATTAAAGGGACATACATTTTTCTCACTTTCGTGGCACGGACATGAAATACAAAGCTTTGTCTGTATTATACAAATCTACCTGTATAATTAATTTGATATACATTTGTAACGTGGAGAGTTGGTTATGATAATTATAAGCGACATTCTTATAACAGGGATTATTGATGTAAGGTTTTTTTGAATGAAATAGCTCAAGCCCTTCAAGCCCACAGGCAACATTTTGGTGTTTCTGGTTGTAAAACAAATTTGAGAAACATTGTGCATGCTATGATAATACTTTCTCTAAATTCTTTTAAGTATCAAAGGGTCGGATGTTATATTGTCAGTACTGTTTTTTGGGTGATGTATACATTTTCATTGGTTGATGTTAATTGTAATAAACAGCTTTCAGTATTGAACAAGTTTGCTTGCTTAATGCAACAAATGATTTTTTCTAAGAAAAAAAATGGCTTTTATACAAGATACCACACGAACTGAATTAACATGTGTTTTGAATAAATTATTATCTTCCTCTACATACAGCTGATCAATTTATTGAAACTCTTTATTTGCGAAGGAAAACATTTTTTTTTCTTAAGTATTTGCTGTGTTCCATGTTTCGACGTGAGCGAGACTAAAACAAAACATATCGATACAGACTACCTGAGGTGGCATTGACAGAGCGATTGCACACACTCGATGTATAATGCACAAGCAACGCTTTGGGGTTTCACCAGACGCGGCTCTCAAACGATTTCTTGCGTTTTCCCAGCTATCGATTACGATTGCGCTGCATCTCCAATCACTTGTACCGTTTGTAAACGATACAGGTTAGAAACCGGGAACCACCGTCAAAAATCAGCTGTTTTGCTTCGAAATCCGTTTCACGCAAAATAAATAAATGAGGATATTACACATTCTCCAAAGTCATAATTAGTAAACCCCGGTGTTGAAGAACGAGACCACTGTGTTGCCATCCAGGAGGAACGAGCAATTGGCTGTTATTCTGTCACAGACATAACCATTCCAGTGGTTAATTCCCAATCTTCTCAATTCCCAGTGTTGCACCACACCAGGCTGAGGGATGAGCCATTGCTGACACGATGCGATGCGTTGGATCTTCGTTCCGGAAAGGCACGGACGCGTTATTTCAATAATTAATATTAATCCCTTATTAATGACAGTCAACGAAACCAACCTATCGTATTTCATCGCACGTCGTGGGTAATTAGGACGCAGCCTCAGCAAACCATGTCACGTTAAAACAATAAAGGCAAAACCCTCCAGTACCTTTCTCGAATGAAAGGTTGCATCCCAAAGAAACACCCAGCGATACATATCGATGCATGTTTTGTTTTGTTTTGTTTTGTTTGTGTGGTGGCTTTCAGCCAAAGGGGAATTGAGACTCGTGTCTTGGAACAATATCTTTAAGATGGCGCAATCTTCTTCCTTGGTTCATAAGTTACAAGAACAGGAACCGAAACAGCAGTGTTTTAATGCTCTCTATTATTAACATCCATTTTAAACACCATTTGCCAACCTCCTCTGTGCAGCGTTTGATTCTCGTGGTGTGAGGCAGAAGATCAAACGAAGGATCCTTCCGTTTCATGTCACGCCAGTGGAAGGCGAGAACGATAACTTTGGGGAATAGCGCACACCAACATAACCGTTGTATTTTATATCATCTTTCCAAAACAGATCTGAGATCGGGACAGTCAAAGTCTTGTCCGGCTTCATTTGTTTCCATGTGCAGATGTATTGCTTTCGTCGTGTTCTTTAGATTTTTAGCAGAGGTAATCCTTTCACCCCATATTCATCCCAAGAAGCTCTCACGTGAAAACCTGTACTCTTTTCCAATTTTTTTCCAAGTGGACTGTTACTCAAATGCGTCCTATATGGATACAGGTCATGCTTATTATAAGTACTGGATTAAACGTTGGCAATTTTGCCAATTCAGCTTGCTAATCGATTAATCTTTGAACTCTGTAACAATCTGTACATCTTCACCTACAAAATATACAGTCATTACACTTCCCAATAAATCCTGTGAAGAATTTTGATCTCCTCTTCCTGATGTGAAAGGCAAAATATCAAACACAAAAAATACTGTTATTATTACTTATCTCACATTCTAAACACTAGTTACCAGCAACATAGATAACCAAATAAATAGCGCCGAGAGAAGATGGAGGCGCCTTTGAACTAGACCTCAATAGAATTGCTCTAAAACATCTGGCAGTGGGGTATTTCTGAAGTTTTAGGCTGAGGTACATTTGCGATGGCAGTTCATAAACCCACACAACATTTTCCGCCACTTAACATCAAAAACTCCATGAAAGATAATGCTGTTTGTATAAGCACTCACTTGTGCTAAACACATTCACATTGGAATCAATAGTCACAGCAACACGTGGAATTTGTGCGCTTATTTCTAAACGTGAGAGATTGCTCACAGTACAATGTAATGGGAGGATAACAGTTTAAAAGATAGCTGGATTTGGAAATGTTTGCAGTGTTGCTTTTCAGTTAACACTCAACATAGTTGGAATAGCCGTTAAATGTTACTTTGAAATTCAGCTTAATCTTTTGTTCATGTATAACTGTAATTTCATTTTCACATTTACTGATGGAATTCCTCCAAGGACTGAATTGGGGGCAAGGATTAAATATAGGCCAACCGTTGAAAGTGTTCCCTCGCCCTTATAATAATAATAATAATCCTTGCATTTGATATAGTGCCTTATCATGTCTTTGAGAGTGTCAAAGCACTTCACAGAATATACTGTAGAGTGAATTGACTGTATACTTTGTGGGCGAAACACGGCAGACAATTCTGCATAGTAGTGGCTCACAAACAGTCGTGGATTGAGTGACCACATTTTTTTAAAGGGATTCTTCCTGCCAGAAAAGCGATCCACCAATCAACTAACAACTGAGTTCCTATTTACTGCTAATTAAACAGAGGAGTAAGGAAACTAGCCTAAGGTTTGGGAATCGAACCTAGGTCCTCCTGCTTGCGAGGTGAGTGCTCTAACCACTAAGCTACAGGACTCCAGTATGGAAATTAAAAAGCAATTTGTTGTAAAGATTGATGCAGAGAAAATTCATAAAATGAAAATGTTGAGCAAAAATACAAGTGTATAAGACACGGTTACAAATTCAGCTCTAAATTTAGAAAATAAAACTAACGATAATAAAGTCTGCATTTTTTGAGCAGTAAAATACATTTATTTCCACTCAATGTATATAGTTGAGGCTACAGGGAAACACATTTATAGAGAATGTGTTTTTTTTCTGAAGGAAGCTCAATCCTTCAAAGCCAGCGATAACAATTTATATGTATGAAATACATTTCTACATATACATAAGAACTATTTCACACCTTTTCAAAAGTTTAGGACCTCAAGTTGTTTGGACGTGACTGAAACACAGATTGTTGCAGAAAAGTTCTTACAATGCACTCGATGTTTGGCTCAGTTGGTAGCACCCTGCTTGCTGGGTTTAGCCATACACATGTTCTTGAGCTGGTAATCCCTTTGAGCAAGTGTTCCATTGTTGAAGGTTGATGTCTCTTAATCGCACATTACACTGGGATGCTGTCTACCTGTGCAGGTGGACAAGGGACCATTTCAGGGAATTCTCCTGGGACAAATGTACTTAAAAAATAGCAAAATTATATTTTGTGGTGTCCTGTAGCATATTGGTTAGGGCACTCGCCTCACAAGCGAGAGGACCAGGGTTCGATTCCTGGACAGGTTTAGAAACCTTAGGCAAATTTCCCAACTCCATGCGCCTCTGTTTATTTAGCAGTAAGTAGGAACCCGGTTGTTAGTCGTTTGGCGGATCGCTTTTCCGGTGATAATAATTCCTTCAAAAAAATTATTTGTTCACTCAATCCACGACTGCTTGTGGGACACTGTGGTGCACAATTGGCTGCTGTGTTTCACCCACAAATTATACAATGAATTCACTTTAGAGTATATTCTATGAAGCTATTTGAGACATCTCAAAGATGTGATAAGGCGCTATATCAAATGCAAGGATTATTACATTAATTGTTGTTTGTGGGAAGCTGCAGATTAGCTCCCTGCGTAACACTGGACTTCAAAACAACTCATTGTGAGAAGAACTTTGATGTTTCCACATGATAAGTTGCCAATTTTATTTGCTATTGTTACACTTACAATAAATACAGGAGGCTCCCTCTACCCGACCCAACAATCTGCCTTAGGCCCAACTTGAAGTGACATTTCCCACACCAGCCTTCCAGTAGCATCTCTGAGTAAGAGTGTCAAATGTAATGTCAATTAGTGCCAAACTAGGGACCGTTTTGTATTGTGGGTCCATCCTATGAATTTGCTTCCTCATTGTGCACTTATATCTGATGGATAGAGGACGCTATTCTCCTATAAGCCCAAACAAATAAATCCCAGGTGCTGGAGGTGAAAAGCCAGTGCACAGTGACACTATAGCATTCTGTATCCCATCATATTAATAATCTATTATAGTCCATGCAAACTATAATTTTTTTATAAAAGGCAGAATCTGAAATAAAAGCCAAAGTCGCTGGGAACATGCTTTGGGTTGCAATGTTGCCTGATACCTGTATCAGAGTGGTCTTAATTCTTACTGTAATATGCAAGCTTGGTTCATTTGGGATGGTACTCATGTGAAATTCTATTATGATGTGCACCTACATTTTCCCTTTGCGATACAAATGGATTCATCTCACTGCTCTGCTGTGGAGGGAGCAGCACTGGTATATGGCTGAGAGAGTCCCTTGCGCAGGAAGGGAGTGCACTAGTGACATCCTCTCGTAGCTGCTGCGAGGGACAATTTGCTCAAGATGCTTATTGATCTCCTTAAGAACAGAACAATGCACATCTGTGTATTTCTGGATTTCTGCCAACTTCAGTCTCTCAACCCTTTGCCCAGGGAATCAAGGCCTGCTGTTACTAATTCCCTAATCTCAGTCCTCAGAGTGTCCTCTGTAGCAATGGAAACAATCCTAAGAGATTGCCCCTCACTGTATGTCTCATATTATTCAGAGATCGGTCCAGCAGATGTTACTTGTGATACCGGAGTCTCAATGGAAGATGGCAGAGAAGATATCTCATTTTGCAGATTTTTTTTGTATTGAAGAGCATGCTCTTCTACATGTGACCCTGAGTACTTTCCAGTGAGGTATGAACAGGCGATTACTCTAATAGGAGAGTGCAAGAGGATTCTGGCACCCAAAATCTATTCATGTAGATAAGGGACATCCTTGTAGCTGATGTCTGTACATCCCATCTGATTGCCCTGTGGATTGTGGTATTATGTGGGAACATAGCCGAGTGACATGAGAACATAAGAATTGAGAGATGTGATACAGTCCTTATGGCAGTTTACTCAGGGCCCATTATTAACTCATGAAATGTTCACTTCTTTGTAATTCATGTTTAATAAACAGTTTGAAGATGCATGTGACATAGTGTATATCACTGTGCTATGTGAGCCCTTCTAAATTGCACATGTGGAATCTGCAATGTTTCAGTT